CCACAAAGGCTAGTGCGCGCGGTGCCGTTGACGACGCAAAGCTGCTGACGTATCCGGATGTACCAGCATTTATATGATCCCTCTATGAGAGTCATAAAGATGTTCAAATGGCACAGAATGTTTGGAAGGAGATCGCTAAAACGATGCACAAAAAAAGAATCTGTGTGTAGAAAGGCTTGGATGAATGAATTGCATGTTCTAGTAATGTATTAAGTAAATTTAATCATCTGAAAAATAAACCAAAAGAATGTCTTAGAATTACTCTTTTGATCAGTACTAATAAAAACTTGATTTTTAATAACAAAATTATAATTTGGGGATTTTCCCTGTGAGGCAGCAAAGCTTTCTTTTGATTCATGATGGGAATTATTCAATACCATTTGAGGTTTCCAATTTATAATAACATCAAATGTTCTTACAATTTTAAAAAAGTCTTATCCATACCTAAGTTTATAGAGTGAAACTGTTGATGACTTTGAGAAAATGAGAAGGAAAGTTGCAGTGGATATTTCAATGTAGTTTCATTTTATTTGACATCATTAAATAGACTTAAAGTAGACTTAAAAACTAAAGGTTCAAGGCCAAAACAGGAGGCAGCAAGGGCAAATGTGGCAGGTAGCTCTACACTTAGTTAAAACAACTTCGACATTAAAATAAGAACATTAATGAATAAAACAAAAACAAAATAAAGTTGTGTGACGTCATACATTTCTTCTTCTACGCCCGTTTTTCTTCTTCTACATCCGTTACTTACAACCTATGCGCAGGTTTTAGAGCGCACTGCCACCTGCTGGTCCGTAAAAGAACAGCACTTTGCCATGCACCACCGTGCGTCAACTATAAACACAGCAGCGATACTATAAACGCGGAAGCTGCATGGCTCAGTGCGCGCGCACTCTGCGTGCTCGAGCCAGTGCACCAAAGCGCGAGTATAACTTAGCATTAAGTGCTTGTGTAACCATGAGTGGCCAGTTTGTTCAAAACCTCCATTATCTGCTCAAGTTTGTCTCCTTCACCTCTCTCCAGGAAGTGTTTACAAGTTCTGCTTTTCTCAAGATTGCCAAAAGGGTTAGATGGTTTTATTACGGCTTTCATCATGTCTGTAAGAGATGAGTTATTTATGCAAATAACTTATCTTACACTTCTTATAACAAAGTTATAAGAGTAAATTTTACCAAGGTTTCTTCTCATTACTTAATARTTGTCTGTGCAAAGTGAAGTGACACAATTAGGGAACTCAGAC